AAGTCAGAGATCCAGCTTTACGTCAGAGATCCAGCTTTACGTCAGAGATCCAGCTTTACGTCAGAGATCCAGCTTTACGTCAGAGATCCAGCTTTGCGTCAGAGATCCAGCTTTACGTCAGAGATCCAGCTTCCACTGGTCCCCCTGCCAGCAGCAGCAGCCTGTAGTTCCTCCCAGAAATGCTGACTGATTGATGCGCTTTGCTTCTCTGGCTCCACAGGCCCGCGTCCTCGGCGCCGGCTACCCCAGCCTCCCCACCATGACGGTGGATGACTGGTACGAGCAGCATCGAAGACAAGGAGCCCTTCCTGATCAGGGCGTTCCCAGGAGAGTCCCTGGGGAGGAGGACGTGGACGCCCAGGAGAGGGACGAAGAAGAAAAGGAGAAACAGGCTGAAAATGATGACCCAGCTGCTTTGCTGAAAGCCAGAAACTGGGATGAGTGGAAAGATGAACACCGTAGAGGATATGGAAACAGGCAGAACATGGGCTGACCCACAACTCCGCACTGATTGAAGCAGAATCTCTGGAACTTTGAGCAGCTTGAAGATCGGGGTGTCTGTCTTCATTTTCTGTAGTTTGTTGGAACGTTGGAGCAGGAGGAACCGGTTCTAACCGGCTGAATGTCTGTACGCAGCGTGGCCTCTGCATGTTTGTTCATTATTCCTTCAATAAATCCTCTGGTGCCATTGTTTTAGAATCTTCACCTTATTCTGTGGCTGATTGAATGATTGATGATCAACAGACCAACCAGAGGATCGGCAGCGTCACCATTTGAAATCAACTCTGAGGCTCCGCCCACAGCGGCGACATCTATGAATTTATCCAGAACCGTAAGCACAGGTTAATCACGGGTAAACAATGATAATAATAATTTATTATCTGGTGTTAGAACCTGAGTCAGTCATTCTAAGAGTTTCAATGAGTCTGTGAGGAAGACAGGTTCTGCTTCAGTATAAACAGCCAGACAGGAAGTAGAAAACAGTCGTTTAGTTTATCAAAGCCTCTCCATGAGCTGGATGTCTCTACATGTTTATGTCTGCAAACCATCTGCTGCTCGCTCACCATGTTTCCTGAGCGGATCCATCCATATAGTTACAGGTTTTCCCATTCGGTCCGATCGGAGCGGCGTGGAAGCCGAGAATGACATTTATCAGCACCAACCTCTCAGATGCATAAACCAAGCTTTAGACTCAGGGATAGGATAAGGAAAGATAAGTCCTGCTATATTTTTCAAATATGAAATAAAATTCAGCAGTAAAATAAATGAGCTTTATTTCTATTGACCACCCCATCACCGGCAGTTCGCTCGCACTGCTGCATTAATGCCACGCCCACGTAATTTCAATACTAAGCATGCTTGTAGCGACAGTGAAGAGAAAAAACTCCTTTGAACATGAAGGAACCTCCAGAAGAACCAGGCCCAGTGTGAGCGGCCATCTTTGTCGTCACGTAGTAAGAACCAAAGAAAATATAAATGAGCAGCAGGCTAGTAAAAACGCTGAAAAATGCAGCATCTCAAAGTCTGGGTTTGAAAAAGGAAGAGAAAGGAAGGAGAAAGAGGAGAGAGGGAGAAGGCGTCCGATACCGGGAACCAGTTTTTACAGACAGGTTTGTTACCTGAATAGTTCAAATTAACGATAGAATATTAATCTGTTGGGTTAACAAAGATCTGCTGGATGCAAATACTTAATCCTCCTCAATGTTAGACAGGAATCACATCATTAACGATGCTGCCCAGCTGGGTGAGTCTGAAACAGAGCATGACTGCAAATGTTTATTACCGTATTTGGTTTTGTTTTTAGTTTAAAAGAAGAATTAAACAAGGATTTATTCCAGCATTTAATGAGCCTATTGTGTGTCTGTAAATAACACAGAGGCCAAACAGCCAGAAAGATCCCAGAGCTGAGAATGAACCAGACCAGGCTATCTGAGGGTTAGCATCAGCTAAACGTCAGGAGATGTTCAGCAGCATTTTAACATTAATTAACATCCTCCTTCATATAAACAGATGATCCACCAGCAGCCTGGATTAAAATCTCTGTCAAGATTAAAACTGTTTAGTTATATTTTTAATTCAGATTAAATTACAACCATTAATAGAAAAAAATCTGAAACAACCACATAAAAAGTATGTTTTATTGTCATTACATGTCCGGATGAATGAAAAATAATCTCTTAGGGTAACATAATAATC